AGAGGATATTGGGGGAGAGGGATCATTGGTCTGACCCAATCAAGCACTTCTTCTTTTATGACACAGGCACGATGTTGGAACTAGCTCCTTCGCCCTCCACCACCTACAGCCGGTCTGCCAACTGGACAGAGGCAGAGACAAAGGACCTCTTGGCCATCTGGGGCAAGGAGGAGAACCAGCAAGCCCTCCGCAAGAGCCACCGCAACAAGGAGGTCTTCCAGCAGATTGCTGCAGAGATGACCACGCGAGGCCATAACCGGGACTGGCAGCTGTGCCGCTCCAAAATAAAATGGATGCAGTGCTGCTATAAGAAGGTCTGGGACAAGAACCGGAGTGGCAGCGGCACCGAATGCACCATGCCCTTTTACAGGGAGTTGGCCCACATCCTCAAGGAGGATGGTGTGTGTTACAGAAACACCTTTGCCTCCAGAGGTGTGAGCTTGGGTGCTGAACAGCAAGCTGCCACTGAGGAAGAGGAAGGCCCAAAAGACTCTGGTGCAGCCAAGACGTGGCTGAAGCTGGAAGAGGAATCGATGCCCCAGGAACTCTTGGTGAACCAGGTCCAAGATGCAGAGGAACAGGATGGAGCTGGGATCTCCAGCGACACCATAATTGAGGCGCAGGACGTGATGGATGAGACTGCACCATCAAAGTCACAGCTGACCTCAGAAATCGTCTCTTTCTCCCCACTGCCCTCAACCCCGAATGATCACGGTGATACTGCTGACCTGGAGACACCCTTTCCCATCTGTGCGCCAAAGATGCTCCGTTCTTCTTCCTCAAGGGACACTTCACAGCCCATGCAGACAAGCCAGCTCCCTGCACCCATGCCTCCTAGTCTCAGCGGCAAGAAGACTGCGCCCAATTCCCAGACCACCACAGACACGAGTAAGTCTCCACCCTTTCCTGCAGGCCCATGCCAGTGCCATAGCCATAAAACAATACCCACAAGGTTGCCCAGAGGATGTGGCCATAGCACTTCTAGGCAGGCACTGCTTGGTCATAACACTGCAGCTCATGCTCCCCATCCCAAGGGCACCATGTCAGGCTTTACTGGGGTGTAGAA